AAGCAATGAACCTTGCTTATGATCATGCTAATTTTAGAAATTGTCAAGACAACCTTCAATTTACCAATGGCAAACTTGCAAGACCATCTCAGATTTAAGGGAAACCATTTGTAGCTTATAGAGTTCTTTTTGGGAGATAGACTGATGATGGTTTTCTCAGTGGTGTGGAATTTCGTTTTCTTGATTACTTTGAAGAATGGAAGTGGGAGGATTTTTTAAGCTTAAATAGGTCGTATTATTAATTTCTTAGCAAAATCTTTTATTTCAATATGATATCTCAAGGACTTGATAAGGATTACAAATTTGCAACTTATGTGATGGGTAAAAACATTGAGGTGAACCTAGTAATGATCAGTAGAATTATAGGCACCGGGACTTCTACTAAGGATAAACAATTTAATTTTGTCGAGGCCTCTAGAGTAGTCTTTCAAGATAGATCATTAGCCTGTGAATGCTTTGATACTAATAGATTAGCACTGCATATGAGATTGTTTCACTTGATTATTACTCATACCATCACTCCAAGAAATGGTAAACACTCCTCCATCACTCAAGAGGATCTCTGGCTAATGTATTGAATTGTCACCATGAATCCACCCAACCTGAGTAAGGTTATCATTGGGCACATGAAATCCATAACCAAAAAAGATGATGGTGCTGCACTGCACTACCATGTAGGAATCTAGTGATTGAGCTCCTAGACTTGGAAGCAGGAAACATTACTGAGGAAAAATCTCATCCTACTAGTAACAAGATTGGTGCTACTTTTTTTTTTTTTTTTTTTTGAAATGCAAAGAGAATTTTATTATGCTTTGAGTGTACCAGGGGTACTCCAGTCCCTAACAAAATTGAGTTCTAGTTTACAATTTGACCATCAAAATTCATACTATCATGGAAGGGATGGGAGTGCCTTTGGCTATATGAGGAACTTTACTTTGTGCTTGTTGTTTTGTTAAGTTTCCTTCTTCTGCTATAGTTGTTGGTTAGACAATTGGCTAGGTTGTGGTGCCAATCTGACAGGGAAAAAAAATAGCTTCCTCTTTTACATTTAATCCAATTGAAGGTCCTAAGTTGCACCAGCTCCAGTAGCCTCCCTTTTTCTGCTTCCTTCCCTCTAAAAATCATATCATTTCTAGCAAGCCATATTGTCCAAACAATACCAAACCAAATGCATTCCCATCCCTCCTTCAGTTTCGCCCTTTTTAATAATTTTGAGTGCTACTCAAACACTTTCAAGCAATCTTTGTCAAGCACAGATTGGTGCTACTTTTGTTGGGTTGATAGGCTTTATGCAGGATGAATCTAGATGGTGGATTAGAAAAACAAAACTGAGAAACACTTCCAATAGACCAGAATCTCCAAAGAAGGCTGAACCAGAGTCAAACTTACTGTCAGGAGTGCTGAAAGAGTTACACAAACTATGGAAGGAAGACGAAAGATCCAAGAGAAGATGGATGTCTCATCACCCTCCTCATCATCCTCTGATACCTAAACTCGAAATGCCTCATGGAATATTGCTACCCCTACATTTTTTATATATACTTTTATGCACATTATATGCTGTTGCTAGTCTTATGGAATACTTTTGCTAGTTATAACACTATTTCCATTTTTTTATCTCACATTCTGATGGTTATTTAGAATTTGGTGTAATTAGTTGCTATGTGATTAACTACTATATTGCACTAATGATTTATCAAGTTCTCTAGCAGTAAGATTGACTTGATTATGGATCAAGTTTCTTGAGCAACATATCGGGACTACCTTTTTGATTATGACAAAAAGGGGGAGAAATAGTTCAAGTGAACTAGTGCATGAACTAAGGGGGAGATTTTCTTAAACTTAATCTTTTTATGCATTTTATTAAAGTTAATACTTTATGCATTGCTTATGCACATTTGGTTTTGTCATCATAAAAAAGGGGAGAATGTTATTCTTGATTTTGATGATTTGAAAACTAAATGTGAATTGGAATATTTATTTGATTTGCTAGTAAATTGAAATATTTATTTAACTTGCCAATATATTAGGATATATTATTGATTTGGATTGGAAGTTATTTACTTGTGAATATATGATTTGTTCCTATTAATATTGAATTTTCAAATATTAAGTTCTGAATGTGTTTCCTTTTTGGTAAAAGTTCATTTAATTGCATGATTATATTTCCTTATTGTGGGAGCCAAAAACAAAAAATGCATTCCATGGTTGAGGTTCCAACTCCTGGGACAAGGTTTGGAACCCTTGATAATTCTGTTTTTGAAGTGTTTATGCGAAAAATTCTCCAGGTTTCAACCCCTTGTAATGGAACATTAATTTACCTACCTTATTTGGACTTTATTCATTCCAAAAAGGATTTCCAACGGTAAAATACAATGATTGAGCATTCTCAAGTTATAAAACCAGATCTAGAAGAATGGAAAAGCATGAAGAATAGAGCCTTCAAGTTGAAAAACCAAGAGTGATTGAATTTGTGCCTTTGTGCTTTGTGAAATCTCTTATTTTCTTGTTCTCTTTCATTGTAACAAGTAAAAGAGGGTTTGGGAAACCTTGTTAGATCTAGGAATCCATCCTTGAGGTATAGGACAAGTTGAGAGATTTGTAACAAGGGATTTGAACGGTTGATAGCACCAAAAAGTTATTATAATCGATTTCACTAGCACCCATTAAAGTTAGTGTTAGTGGATTAAATCTCGAGTGTAGGAAACTTGAGAACTGGACGTAGGCACCAAAGAGGGTAACGAACTAGGATAAATTGAAGCGCTTGATATTTCTTACCCTACTCTTTTAATTCTTGCAATTTAGTTTGCAATAGCTTATTGATTGCATGTGCTTGATCATTGCTTTAATAAAAAAAAGAAATATTGCATAAGGGTTTTTTTGCGACCCAATTCACCCATTCTTGGGTTTCCATCTGGGCCAACATAACTATATTTATTTCGACATGCCAACAATTTAGAAACTTTACTAAGAAAATTATTAAGTTTTATAATGATAGCATGAGTTCTTTCTTTGTCCATATGTAATACTAGTTTTTAGAGCATCGCTTTCCATAAGAAATCATGCCATCGTGACAGCATGGATGCTTTCCATAAGAAATCATGCCATCATGATAGCATGGATTCTTTTCTCTGTCTATATGAAGGCCCCGTTTGGTATAGCGGTTTGGGGGTAGCGGTTAGCGGTTTTACCTAAACCGCTAAATATAAGTGTTTGATAAATTTATATATTTTGAAACCGCTACAACTAAAGTGTTTGGTAAAATTTTTATTTAACAATTTGAAACTAACGGATAGCGGTTAGGGTCCAAATCGCTAGCGGATTGAAAAAACTAGTTTATGTAGCTTTTTGTACCAAACCGCTAGTGGATTAAAATTTTTTAATTTTATTGAGAAATTTATCCATTTTAATTTTTTAATTTGTGGTCACATTTTTAATTAATAATTATCTAATAAATTTCAGTTTTTTTTTTTCCTTTTAATAACATTAAGTGATTATAATATTTTTTTTGTATATTAATTTATAATTAAAAAATATATTATCTTAAAAAACAAAATTTGTTAATTA